TTTCCTTCCCAAGTTCTTCCAGATTCTTGTGCGTACGATATTTTATTTACTGTACTCCGAAATCCCTGACTTCAGAGAATTTTGCATAGCACTCGAAAGATACTGAAGTGTAATACAAAGTAATGTTATAGGAAAAGTATGGCTGAGGGTAAAGTCAGTCTTGAGAGGAGGGAGGTCATGTCGGTGAAGACTAGTCAAACTGACAGTTAACTGAATCTCTTCTCCCACTGTAATAAATCAATTAGCAATGAAAAATTAATGTGCAAAAAGTTTTCCTGAGCGTTTAAATATTGGTTTGTCTGATAGATTTCCTCAGACTTTCATCATTTTTTACGTTGTCTTTGAGCTTTTTCTAGAGTTCCGGTCCACTTCCACAGCTGAGATAAAAAGATTTTGGTAGAATAGGTTACGGATACTTTCCCGGGCCTGTCTACAGTTTTCTAAATATTATTAGATTTACAGTATTAGTAAGATTAACTTTGACTAAGCTAATCCCAGACCTGGCTCGTGCAGAAATTTATTTATATCTATTTCAGTGTAATATGTATGGGAAATACGCCCTTCACCAAGCATACGTATTTCCCAAGTTACTGTACAATATGCGTGTAATTTTTACAACCATATGTATATTTCAGCGTGGAAATTCCGATGCTAGTCAAGCTACAAGCTATCACACTACACGATCTATAGGAGCTTCTTCTGTGGTGAGAATCGTTCCGCTCCTCGCAATTAGCATTTTTATTTCTTAAAATTCTTTTTTTTTGATTTTATTTGTTCTCCCTTTGTCTAACAAATACTTTTGCTTTTCGAAAGAAGAACGTTGAGTCGGAAACAAGCTGATTTGAACTTTCTCGAAAGTTTTCCACTACGCCGAGGGTTTCTGCCCACGGTTGTGTAGCTCAGAAACTTTTGAGGGACAAAGCTGTGAACATGTTTTTTATGATTTTTTCGCACGCTTTTTACGAGATTTTTTCACTTTTTTGGTTGGCTTCTTATGGCTCAAGAGGATTTTTTAGAGAGGAAATTCATGGATTGAACATAAATTGAAGAAACGCGAATGTTGTCGATTTGTGCCATCGCAAAAATACTCGACGAGGTAGGTTTGTCGTCGTCGCTAGTTGTTTTTCCCGGGTTATATACCGAGGCTGGATTCAATCTCAGGAACAAACTTTGTAAAGTGCTATCCTTGCGTCACAATTCGAATTCCTTGTTTAAATGTTTCTCCTTTGAACCCAGCTGTGAAGTCCAAGTTCTGAAATTTTCCAGAATCGAAAGACTATGCAAAATGTTAACTTGACTACTAAAAGCAGTGGCTCTACATTATTCTAGTTGGCTCTAATCTGAAAGACCCTTTGGAGCATTATCATTTATCCGCTTACAGCGCTAAGCCAATTACTCTTATTTTATTTTAAAGTTATCTACTTTTGAGGTGTGGCTGTGGCATGGGAATCGATCAGCATCCAGCCGAAGCTCAAAAGCCTATCAAACCGTCAAATTTTCTTCTATTACCTGGCGGAGACGATGAAACAACAAACAATGACTCGGATGGCTTTGATATGTCTAAAGTGGGTATCGCTAACCGAGAAGTGCAATTACTCGCGAGTCAAGAACTGTAATTACTAGGTTTTTTACTTCTTGAGCCCGGGTCAACCGGGCTTTACCCAATTGTCATTGCCATCTACCCATGACACTGATCACACCTGTTTTTGTAAACATTGCGAACAGAGAACAGTTGAAATGAACTCACTTTCACACAAGCAAATAAACATTGTTGCTGAGCAAACAAACAAGGCGAATAAGGAAAGAAAAATGTGATTCGTTTCATTTAATCCTCGGACGAACCAACATCTGATAGGAAACCCCGATGATTTGTAGTGCGGGGGCTATCAAAGCAATAGACTAGGTAGGCCATGGTCAGGATCAACAGATCCAGAAAAACGGAAGCATCATGCTGCTTATATCGACATCGAGTGGACAGGTGTCTATCTATAACTGCTGTCTTACCTAATGAGACCTCAAATCGACTAAGTCTATAGATAATAATGTGATTAAAAAGATTTCAGAGCAAAAGATTTCAAAAATAAAGTTTGACTTCACTGATCCGGTCCATAGGAAACAGGGAAAACCGACAACAGCGACTGCTCTCTGAAAATTCTCTTGATTCACTTCTGAAAATCATTTTACCACTATATCTTGGGCATTGCATTCAGTTGCAAATCTTGATTTTTCGTTATGAACCTACCTTTTACAAAGTCACTATTGAGCCCGACTTCAGAGCGGTGGCAGGAAGGCTCAACGTTGGACGATCGGCAAAAATACCGCCACTGCACCGACGGACGCCTATGGAACTATTGTGTTCGAAGGTAAGATTTGAGGTTGATAGAAGTGTCTACTGTCACAATTTTTGAAGAATTACATTTGAAAAGAATTAAGTTGGAGAACAGAGTCGTGAGCCGAGGAAGCGAGAGCGGGAGGAGGGAGCGCTCGAAGAGGAAGGGCTGAAAAAGGTATTGGGCCCAGTTCGATCCCGAAACTCAGCGGGAAATAACCTATCGGAATATTCACGACCGATGCTCGGACTGGTGCTCAGCGAACTTCGAGCGGGATNTTTGAAGAATTACATTTGAAAAGAATTAAGCTGGGGATCAGAGTTGTGAGCCGAGGAAGCGAGAGCGAGAGGAAGGAGCGCCGACGCTTGAAGAGGAAGGGCTGAAAAAGGAATAGGCCCCAGTTCGATCCCGAAACTTAGCGAGAAATAACCTATCGGAATATTCACTACATACCGCTGCTCGAACTGGTGCTTAGCGAACTTCGAGCGGGATCTTTTGAGGAACCGCTTTGTATTTTAGAAATATATGAAGTTATCGAGAGAAAGTAGGACCATCCCTGAGTTGTCATTTAATAAGAAGCACAATATTGCGTAGGAAGGTCTCTGAGGACTGTTCATAACATCCGATCATTCTTCTTTCAGGATGTGTCCATCAATCTCGTGCTCATTACGTTCGAACCAGCTTCGACACCGACCCGGCAGCTTTGAATCATCTTTTCCAAGAGATTTGGAAACTTCCACCGCCGAAATTGGTTATAACAATCCATGGAGGGCTGACAAACTTCGAGTGGGTCATTTTTCTGTAGGGTCCAGATTTCGCTTTTGAATGAAGCCTTCGAATTCCATTAGGTCCATGTTCAATCACATTCCAGTCTACAACCGAAATTGGCTCGAATCTTCCGCAAAGGGATACTCAAAGCAGCTCGATCAACAGATGCCTGGATAATAACGTCAGGACTTAACACCGGGGTTGTACCGCATGTCGCCTCGGCTCTTGAAGGTAAGATTAAAATTTGCTGAAATTTCATTTCTGGAGCATGGCGAAGTCAATAAGAAATGTTTTTTCGAGACGAATTGAGCTCGATCCAGAAATACTTGAAACAGAGTACTTTCGGAAGACGCCTGAGTATTCTGAGAGTTTGGGAGGGGTTCTCGCAAGGATAGAAGGACGTAGAGGAACGATAAGAATGTAGGAATTAGGCGGTCAGACATTTTCTACATTTCCCTAGCAGTTTCTTCGATGAGACACGTTTGTTGTTGCTGTTGTTGTTTATTGCTTAAGCCTCCATGGAATCTTTCCATGTTTATGAATTAATTTTGCAGATCTTGGCTCGGCGTCACGATCTCGAACTCGAGTGATCGCCATCGGAGTAGCACCATGGGGTATGCTCAAACGGAGGAATCGCTTTGTCGGGGTGGTAAGAGGTCTATATCAAGTGAAAACTCTCAGAAGATCCCCACCAATCTCGAAAACTTGTTTTAAGGACAAATCTGTTCACTACGCCCCAAATCAGTTCAACAAGTCACGACTGGCTGAGCTAAATGATCGCCATTCGTATTTCCTATTTGCCGACAATGGGACCGTTGGAAGGTATGTATGGCCCTCATCTCTTTTACGGTCATATCTACTTCTTAGAGCATTAGTTCAGAATAGATCCGAGTAATTTTTTTCCTGGTTGCTCAAAGATAATAAGGTACCCTCTGCAATTCTCTGTGGATTTTCGATTTATCACTCTTTGTAACCCGACAATAGCTGATGTAACTAACCTGATTATTACCGATATTTGGTCGTTTATATTTCTAGGTATGGTTCTGAGATAATACTGAGAAAACGGCTCGAAACCTATCTTGCCCAGCACAAATCTTCATCGGTTCCGGTCGTCTGCGTGGTTTTGGAGGGAGGTGCATTTACAATCAAAGTGGTCCATGACTATATAACGTCGTGAGTTTCTGGCAATCCTTAGGAGATCTTAATCTTAGTGAAATTCTGTTACTAGACTCGATCTGTCTCAGTGAAGTACCTCACGATCGTATTCTACTCCTTTGCAGTTCCCCACGTATTCCCGTTGTCGTTTGTGATGGTAGCGGACGAGCAGCCGATCTTTTAGCCTTCACACATCAAGCCATTGGAGACGACGGGTTAGGATTTCTGAATGTTTTTTTGAGCTGTTGAATTGGCTTAGCGATGGGACCAACATCGTGAGGGCTACAAAGCGATAGACTTGTTCAATACGTTCTATAGATACGTTACGAGCCATGCATTCGGATTCCTAAGCAATCAACAAGGTCTTGGGATGATTTTGACTTCTAGAGTTCCTCGGGAAGATCTTCAAATAGTGCTCGGCTCTAGCCGACTTACCGATTTCTAGTTTCGGGGGTTAGTAAATTCGAGTGGTAGCTTTCTAGGTCGACCTTTTTGATGCCCTCTTTTGTGTAATGATCAGCTCCAACAGTAGAATAACATTCATTTTGCTATTGTTCAGTAACATTCAGTAACACGCTCGAGTATCTCCCTTTCAGAAAGCTAACCGATTCAGTTTATAATCAGTTGATGTCATTGGTGGAGATGGTGTTCAATTATGATGAGAAGAATGCCGCTCGAATCGTTCGACAGCTCGTGGACTGCGCCCGTCAAAGAAACTTGGTACTTATTTGGGTCTTTCTTCAAAACTTTCGAGAGGAGTGATAGCAGATGGTTCTCCATAACCAGAAGAGCATGGTAAAAGGTTTCGTCAGTGTACGGCTGGATTCTAGGGTTCGGGGCAGGTGTGTGACCATACAATTGCGACGACAAACTAGTGTTCGAAAAACAAAAAAAAGTGGTGGCAAAAGCTCTAATTTGGTTCCTCCTAGGCCGAAACCTCTTGCCCGAATCTTTGAATGAATTCATTAGATTCATTCCAACCTCACCCAATTCAGATGACCGTATTCCGTATGGGTGAACAACGTCAGGAAGTCGATCATGCAATTCTAACAGCTTTACTGAAAGGCCAAAATCTTAGCTCACCCGAACAACTGCAACTGGCTTTGGCATGGAATCGTGCTGATATCGCTCGTTCGGAGATTTTCACCCTGGGAACGGTTCGTGGTTAGATTAGCACCTCCTTCGTTTTTTTTTCTTCATAACTTCTTTCTCTAGGAATGGAGCACCCAAGACCTTCACAATGCCATGATGGAGGCTCTATGTTGTGATCGAACGGATTTCGTTCAACTGCTACTGGAAAACGGTGTTTCCATGCATCGATTTCTGACCTACGGTCGTTTGGAACATCTCTACAATACCGTAATCATTTCGCTCTTTGCAATACCGTAATCCTTTTGCGATGTTGATTTATGAGTTGTGGGCGTCAAAACGCTCAATCTGAGTTTCAGGACAAGGGACCACCCCATACGCTTCGCTCCAAGATGGGAATCACATCGAAGAGACATCATCGGATAAAGTTGACTGAGGTAGGCACATTTTGCAGAGAACTTTTCAAAAACCTTTTTTGAGCGGATAGTTTGTAAAAAACATTCGTTTTTATTATTGATTACACAACCGCAAGGATAACTCGTCCAGGCTCTACTCATGTCANTGTTGATTATCACTGTTTACCACTTATTATCACTATTTATTTAAGGTTGGTCACACAATGGAAGATCTCATGGGTCACGCGTACAAATCAAATTACACCAAAGATGACTTCAAAGCCAAGTATTTTGTATTCTCCAATCGAAGGCAGGTACGGTATATATCATTGAAGTTTTCCGACTGCTAATAGGAAAACTTTTTCTCACAGATAATCTTGAAAGATTGCTTACCTGAGCTGGGTCCAGCCTGTACGAGCCAAAAATCCCGTGCCAAAATTTTTGTGGTCTTTTTAGATTGACTAATCGGCTGATTAGACTCCAATCGTTCTAGAATCCTCACTCTTGCCTGTAGTTTGAAGGCCAAGTGTATTCGCTTGATGAAGAGCTTTTTCAGTTAGGCTATCAAAAAACGGACCGTGAGGACGTGAGATTGCGCTCAGAAAATCTCAAAGAAGACAAAGACCCAGATCATTCCGTTAGGATGGACCTACTCCATACGGCGAGGAACTCCATAATATCGATTTTTGGTGGACGACATGACAATGAAGACGGCGAAGGTGGTAACATAAACTGTAAGACGCAGTTTTAGTAAGTTATCGGTATTGATACTTTCAGATGAATTCTCAAACAATGAGGACGACTCATTGGACTTCACCTTCAAGTACCCTTATTCGGAGCTGCTCATCTGGGCCGTTCTGACGAAACGTCACAACATGGCGTTGCTAATGTGGAAACACGGAGAGGAGGCTATGGCTAAGGTAAGCAACAATCATAATTAGGGAACCAGTCAAAAACCTGGGAAACCGGATTTTTCAAGGGTGAGACCCAATCTGCCCACCACTGGTAGCTATTATATTTTTAATTAGTTGTCTAGCCTGTTAGATGGTATAGACTGAATCACGTCCGTAAAGTTGCCTGGATATTCGACAAAGGTCGATGTAACTATGTAACGAACTCTTCCAATCAAGAAATCTTATCCGACAACTTTTTTGGATCACCTGGCTGACGTCGATCCTTCTATCCGGGTGTTCTACCAGAATTTTCTCGATCACTCACTAGTAACAGAATCGACAGACTTCCCCTTTCAGGCGCTGGTGGCATGTCGTCTTTTCGATTCACTTGCAAATGATGCCTCACAAAACTATTTGGAGTTGGAAATCTGCGAAGAATTGAGGAAGAACAGCGAGTACGCTTCTATAACGTCTTCGAACCGATTCATGATTTCCTTTCTGGTCATTTCAAGGGAATTTCGTGAGCTGTCGATAGAAGCCCTGCAGTATTGTACCGAACAGGATAAGGATATCACACTACAACTTCTTACCTATGAACTGACAAACTGGGGTAACGAAACCTGCCTCTCGTTAGCGGCTCTGAACAACAATCGACAATTTCTGGCTCATCCATGGTAAGTCTAGTAGTATAAGTTGTCTAAATGAGTTTGTAAACATATTCACGTCGTCCTGGTCGCGTTTGCGCCATGAATCCGTAGAGGCTTCAAGTGTGTAGATCTAATTCGATGATCATCGTGTGCAGTCTTTAGTGGGTCTCGTAGAAGAGTCATTTCTCAATGACCACTCTCGAACTTTCAGGGGAGTATGCTCTCAAGTTAAACAACTCTTCGGTCAACTAAATCATTTCAGCTGTCAGCTGCTTCTATCAGATCTGTGGCAAGGTGGGCTTCATATAAGGAACAGCGCCAACCTCAAGGTATGTGCCCAAACGAATAGCGATATGCTCCCAATTAAACCTTCATCATTCCTTGAAAGAGTTCTTCTGTAGCAGAAAATGCGTGTGAATAGTGCTTTTGCGTGCTGTTCCAGCGATAATTTACCTCCAAGTTAACTGGATTCGAACAATGGAGTACGTCTCCACTAAGATTTTCCCATTTTTCAGGTTCTCGGTTCTTTACTGATGCCAGCAATGATTTTTATGATGGAATACAAGACGAAAGAGGAGCTGATGCTTCAACCGCATACATTTGCTGAACATCTCGAGGAAAATTCTGAAAGTGACTCATCGCTGAGTGATGACACCAGCTTCAGTGACAGTAGCTCAAGTGAGACTGAAGAGGTCAGAATTTTTCCTGGAACTGGGGTTACTTCGGCAAAAATGAAGGTCCAACCGAGCTGTCAAGTTGACTATTAGGTTGAAAATTAAACTGTCGACAGATCTGTTCCCGTGAAGTCTTGAAAACGTGCAAGTGGCTGAAGAAATTACTTGTTTAAGGATGTCCATAACGAAAAGCTGACTCGACCACATGCTGGAAGTGAAAAAGATCCGATCCCACTGAGTTTTCAGCAGGTAAATTTGGCAAAATTTGATCAAAGTTTCCTTTCCTATCTGCCCGTACGAGGGCCTGCTGGATTGGTTTTTCTAACGGACTGACTCAATCAATGTGACTCCTTTCTAGCACATCGGGAGCACAGACTCTAGGAAGGGGTTCCAATCTCAAGAACCATGTAGACCGACTCCCACGCTACTCGCCACCTCGCCACGAAATAAAAAGAGAAAATTCAACAGAACACGCTCAGGAAAAGTGGAGAGCCCGTATAGAATGGCATGAAAAAGCCTCAGTTATCAAATTGGATCCTCGAAAGACCAGGTGGTGCAAGACGTTGCTCGACTGCCATGGCAACATAACTTTGGAAACGCCCATCGGACTCCACGCTCTTGCAGTGAAAGTGCAAATGTTGTTCCTGTCTGGCTCTCTCCAACGCCGAGATATTCATGCTGAAAACGCCGATTCACTACGGAGCAAAGCTAGTGCCCAGCAACCCAGCCTGCCACTGCGTCGAGCTCTTCGGCCTCCAGGGAACGGCGGCGAGCAAGGGGCGTGGGGCACCCTATGCTCTCGTGTCTCTGGGAGCCGGGCCCAGTCTCCCGGTCACGTCTCAGTCCATACTGGCACCGTTGTATCGAGCCTGATGGCTCTTTTCCATTGTTCTTAATTTTTCTGAGGGATCTTCGGAGCCGCCTCATGATGGCGGAGTCACCGGAATTCGCCGCCTCCCTGCCAATTTTTGTAGAAGACTCGAAAGAGTCGACATGGTCGATCACCTGCATAGGAGAAGGAAGGAAAAAGAAGGACAGTGGTGTAAAGGGAGAAAGAATCTTCGTGTAAAGCTAGAATTACTAAAAGGGCTAATTTCAGAGGCTAATTCCCCTTCATCTGTACTTACTATAGCTCCAACTTTGTTCAAACCGCTACCGTTACTAGTGAACCTGACATTACCATTTGAGTACCCATATGTCAAGGAGTAGGAAGGAAAGCAGTGATCAGCATAGAAAAGTCGATGAACTCTCTCAACAGTGGGGCACGATGGGAGAAAAGTGTAAAGTGTGGCTCGCCTGTCCTAGCAGAATGTGTTGGTCGGCGTTCCATTCCGCAATGTGGACGTGGAGATGTCTTTGTTTGCCTCTGAACCCTCCACGCGGAAGATTTCGATCAACAAAGAGCGGTCTTCCCTACGAAGCAAAGAGTCATCCATTGCAAGCAACTAATGGTCAAAACAGTGGTCTCGGTCCGCAGGGCAAAGGCAGGTCGACCCAGACGATAGACAGCTGGGCTAACGGATCGAGGGCCTATGTCTTGGCCATGCGCATTCTTGTGAGGCAGGGCCCAGTCTCACAAGTTAGGTGCTTGACCGATGGCATTGGTTACTGGGGATGATCCCCCGAACCTTCCTCCCTGCCAATTTTTGCGAATGACTCGAAAGAGTCGGCAAATTCTCTATTGGCATTTCCCATATATACGAACAATTTACCCTGTGGATGAAGCGTATCTCTGGCAATCGATGAAGAGCTATCAATGATGGTAATTAAGTGGGAAAGAACGAGAGTTGTTCACCGTGTTTTGGATTGCGCCACGCGTTCGATATTCATTTAACAGGTCGTTTGAAATAAAAATCGGACTCAGCATCTGGTGTTTGAGCTTGTTCATCATGTTGATCGTTGTTTATTTCTTTATTTCCATTTAGTTTAAGTTCATTGCTGTTTTCAGTTGATGCGTGATAAGTTACGATTTTCGTTCCGAAATCATCACGGCTCACCTAATGGAAATGGAATGGTCATTGCGCCACAGATACAGCGTGAGTTACTGGTTTTCCGTATATCTGGCTTCTTTCTAACGCTTAAATTTCCTTTTTTTCTTTTTTTCTTGAATGGAATTCGAATGCAGAGGCTTCTCCCTGAGAAGGGATAAAGGCCCGAAGAGGATTCCTTTTTGTTGTCGTTAGAAATATAATGTTGAAAAAAGTGTATGAATTAGGAATGGCGATTCGCAATACATGATTGGTCTGTGAATATGTTGGGAAGGATGGAGGGCAGAGGAATGATGGGACATTCCAAGAATTTCATACTGGTTTTCAAGGTTCTCGAGCAAGGACCATATCAGTAACAAACAGGAAACGGAGATCAAAGAAGGACGGAGACAGCGATGACAGTAGCGACAAGAATCGAGGTACGTCGGTCCTGTCCTGATCCTATCTTATTACCACACGGGATGGTACTCAACAAAGACAATAAGACAGGGGAAGCTTTCTTGAGATGCAGAGTCAAGTTTTCCCGATCGTTCTTAAAGTAGCTGAAAACTCATGGAAGAACTGGCAGAGGGAAGGAATGATGGGCTTGGCAATCATAGCCATTAGTATTTGTTACCATTTGTATTTGTAGGTAAATCGCGTCGTCGTTCCTCAAAAAAGCATTCGAGCCTTTATCTCAGCCGCCCACACTCAGAAGACGGCGAACAAGATACTCCACAGAAACCGCATCCGACCACTTTCAGAGATCGCGAAACTCTTCGAACAGGGGTAAGTTTCCATAAGGGCGACCACGAACACCAACTTTTTGCGATTCGCTTGTATTTCCTTAACTAACAAATCCCGTCCTTTTTCGCTTGTAGTATAGAGGCTTTGGAGTTCTGGTAGAATATTTTATGACCTCGCCAAGCCCCAACTCTAATTCAGCTCGAAAACGTAAAGAAGATTAAACCATGAACGTGATCCTTCCCAAGTCGGAGTTTTATCGAAGAATCGAACAGTATTATGTTATCGAATGAATCTATGTATTACCGAGAGACAGACCCCAGAGGGGTGGAAGATTTGATTGCAGTCGTGCCAGGATTTAATCGCCTTAGGGGTACTTTCTTTTGCCGTTGCCTTAATTTTACCTACAAATCGGGTTAACTTCGGTAGTGTGTATGGCTGGATGGTATCCTTCGTAGAACAGGGATAGGGGAGGAATGAAGGTTTTCCCTCGATTCAATCGAGTTTTCCTTTCCAGCAGCGATCGATCTCATGGCGACGTAAACTTCGTGAATTCTATTCTGCTCCGATTACGACATTCTGGTTGTGGTCCCTGAGTTTCTACATATTTCTTATTGCTCTCTCTTACACGATTCTGTTGAAGACACCGAGGTAAGACACTGAACAGTAACGTGCTTACCTTGAAGGTTTTCTGGTGTTACATCTTATTGGCCGTTTAGATACCCTTCATGGGTAGAATGGTATCTGATCTCGTACGTGGTTGTATGGCTTATCGAGCTGCTGAGAAAGGTAGGTAATCTTATCCGATAAGTATTCCAACGAATATTTTCAGCATTATTTCCTCATAGGGTAAGTTGTACGAGCTGGTCGTGTTACGTACTGGGCATCCCCCCACCAGAGTGCGTGGGTGAAAGGGCGTATGAGCGGGGTGCCTACGCTTTGTCTGCCTTTAATATTGTCGGAATAAGTTTTTGTATCGCTTTCGGCTTTCGGAAGGGTTGTAGCCGGCATCTGTCGAGGATTCTGACCCCTTACACTGAATTCCCAAAAAAATGGATGAAAAGATACCATTCAAACATTGCAATCAATTCGAAATGGAAACTTTATCAGTTGGCGATTCCACATGCATAATCTTGAGCCCGAAAAATCTCTGAAAGACGACGACCAAACCTTCATGCTGAGGATTACCCCGATACTGAGGTGCTGTGGGATAGGCTCATAGGAGGTGGGATAGCTGAAAGAACGAGCTAAGGGAATTTTCTAGGGAAAAATTCGACGTTCTATTCCCATTAGCGTCATCTATGTATGTATTATACAAAAAATAGAACTACCGTGAGAAAAAGGTACTGTTCGTTGTGACTTTGAGGAATATATTTATTCGAATTCAACCATCATCAATTTCACTACAGAATAGAGCAAATCATAATGGTGAAGACGTAGGGCATTTCTAAAAAGAACAACAACTCTTTATCTCTGGGACTTCACCGTCTGCCCCACGGTCCCATTGGACCGGCGGCAACCGGCCGGAAAGGCATACCCCATGGCCCACGGGGTGGGAATCCACCAGCGCCAAATGGAAAGGCCCAAGGCATCATTGGTGGAACCGGGAATGGTCCTCCTTGAAAGAATGGTAGAGGCCTAGGTCCAGGGCAAATCCAGCAAGGGCCGTATGGCGGCCATTTGGGTCTTGTAGTTGTTTCGGGGATAGTCTGCGTTCTAGCTGGCGGAGTAGTCTGCGTTCCAGCTGGCGCCGTCGCCGTCGCCGAGGGTGACGTCGTTTTAGGTGTAGTTGTCGGTGCTAACGTTGCTATCGAAGCTTTAGCAGTCGCTGCTGCTGTTGAAGGGGCCTGAACAATTTTAGAAGCAATTCTCTCCATGAACGATCACATACATAGCTCTAATACCGCACACTCAGAGCTGAAATGATTCTTTCTAAGTGGTTGGTATTCGAAGTGTAGGCTTTAGTAGGTAGGAAATGGAGGCCCCCATAAGACTTACCTGAGCAGGTAACGCAGTAAGCGGCACGGCAATCAGCAAGAGCACGAACCAGTTCATCTGTAATGATTACATATGGACATATAATAATGGTTAGTGTTCGGTTTGCTGCAAAGCGGATCAGTTGATGATTGGCAGCCAATTTTCCCCGCTGACAATATAATCCCCATTTTTCCTTTTATGAAACGGATGTTCGAACAAGATAAGAACTGCGGATTTTAGAAGGGAGGTGCTTTTGGGAGGTGGTTCCTGAAATATTCCTGGCAAAAGAAAAAGAGAGAGGGCCTGAACATTGGGTTAGCCCATTTTCATCCCACTTGGGGAACAGTTGTGTCATTGGAAAATGCTTTGTCATGGGTAAGTAAGCTCGTGAAAAAGGGAGTACTGGCATTTACAGACGACGATCGCGTTTCAGAAGAAAGGTTCTACCCTCTGTCGACTTCCCTATGTTGGTCTGAGCATAACCTATTATTTCAGCCCATAGCCCCTGAAATAACTTACATTTTAATGTAGCAAATTATTCTATCGATGGACCACACTGCTTTTCCCGTTGCTCAGAGGAGCCAAGCTCTGCCCAGGGCAGCGAGAAAAGCGGCAAACTCCATTGATGGAAGAATCCCATGACTCTTTTTTTCTCGGAGTACGACTCATTTTTCAAGACGGAATGGTCTTATAGGGCAGCGCGTAATGAGTTTCTAATTGAGAGTGGGCCTAACGTTATTGACGGCCATGCTATATTACTGCTTCCGATGCCATGAAGCCGGTTCTGAAGGGCCTTAGGCTTCTCTAGAAGATGAAGATAAGGATGAAGTGGGAGAGTGGGGCTAAACTGAAACTGGTGTGGGCTCCGAGAATGCAATCGGGACTTCTACGTGATTCTAACCCGCCAAAGCCCTTCAAAAAAGAAGGATTTGAGGAAAGATTAAAAATTAATTGCCAATTTGGCAGATATGTAGGAGAAATGCAGTTAGCTGTGGGTCGATGAGAAAGCAGCTTCTGAAAAGCCACCGTTTCGGAAAGCGAACAGAATGAGATGTAATTTATGGCGTCGGCGTGGCTCTTATACTCTACCAAACAGTGGATATTTCTGAGGCCTGCCTACTCTNATGCAGTTAGCTGTGGGTCGATGAGAAAGCAGCTTCTGAAATGCCACCGTTTTAGAAAGCGGACAGAATGAGTTGTAATTTATGGCGTCGGCGTGGCTCTTATACTCTACCAAACAGTGGATATTTCTGAGGCCTGCCTACTCTAGAACGAGCACTTCTCAAACATCTCTACAAATTGTATTCATCAGTCCAACTGAGTAATAATGTGTAGGAACGTCGGCATACTGACTAAAGACTGTCAATAAGGGTGATCCATCAATGGAACCTTGCAAAATTCAGATTATTCCATCGAATGAAGGAAGGCAATTGCGACTCTATTGCTATTAGGCTTCATAGGTCTAGTTCTCCTAGGCTCGCTGTACCGATTGATTTGAGAGTCACTCTTGGTTGAAAGCAAGCTCTCAGATGAACGCATTTCAAGCTTTAAATTCCACAATGATATCCATGTCACCTACAAACTATCAACAGATCCCATACAGAAGTTGAGTAGGGATAGGAGTTTCGCCTTCTTCTGTCGCCTGCATGGATCAAGCCTTGGGTAGAAGCTCTCTTCGATTGATCAGACAAGCCATACCACGAAAATCGACCGCTTCTTCTCAGACTCTTGTGGGTAGATGAAAACCCAAATTGGAATCATACAGGCCTTTTTTGTCCGAATATTCATTCAAACGCCACTATTGCATTGGACTTCGAAACTTGGGGCTTTACTTTTTTGTTTGAAATATCAAATTATCTTGATGATCATGTATCAGTTGTGAAGTTATTTTGCTGAGACGGGATCATCATAGTCAACTCTCGGGGAGGGGAGAAAATTGTGAGCTGCCATTCTTACCAAAGGCATTTTTTGGAAGGATAGAAGCGGGTAGTTCTTTAGCGTCGAAGGTAGCTTCCTAAGCTATTTCCAATCAAACCCTGATCTTTAACATGAGCCATATACTGCCGTGAATGCAAATTTCATTAATCCGTATATCAAAAAAACATTTGAGTCATCTCCGAACTGTTATTAATGTAATGTTATTTTTGTCCACTTTCTATTTGAGAGAACAAAATATTTGCAAAAAATGTCCTCAATGGACTGATCAGAAGTTGCAAAGGCAATCTGTACCAATACAATCCTTTTTTGGGGTTCCATGCAAGTGCACTTGTCTAGGGAAGGCAGGGAGCCGGAATCCCAGTTATACATACGTCTGCTAGGCTCCCTAATGGAATAGCCTGTAACTATGGGCTGATTACAGATATCAGTAGACAAGCAAGGACCCACAGCAAATTTGATCAACTATGAATTTTGCTAGTGTTGCTGTGCCCTTCCCGGTGGCCCTCAGGAGGAAGTGGCAACTTCTCGATTTTCTAAACTACCATTATTGTCCCCCTCCTCTTCTCGACCCTTTTTCCTCCCTCTACATAAGCAATTCATCCAAAATAATCTACAGATTGGAAAAATGCTCCATGACCGCCTCGTGAGTCGGAATCAGACTTTTTTTGCCAAGCTCTAAACTTGGCGAAAGTGAGTAAAACTGGAAAATTCAGATTGAAATTTTCTGAAAGGCTCACGGAAAAAAAACTAGGTCTTGGTCGGAATGTCGATATCTCCTCACCATCGCATATCGTCACGAAACTCCTCTTCAAAAAGGGCGTTGACTATTATTAACTTTTAATAGTCGTCCGCTTTTGATGAGGCATTAGCGGGAGGGAAAGTCAAATTTAATTAAACAAAAATTTACGTGGGATGGAAGCCGGTAGCAGATTCAAATTAAATTTAATTAAAAGTTATCAATCGATGTAGGCTCAATTGGTGAGGAAAAGGCCTTGCAGACTTCTGTGGCAATACGTACGGGCTTTCTCGAATGACCATCCAAACGCCCTGGGGTTTCTGATGGGAGTCGAATACGTGGCTCACGCTGAAAAACTGATTTTCGACTACTCTTGTCCTTCTTTCATTCTTGACTCATCCTATCGCTAGTATTTCAGCTAGTGATGATAGTGATGATCGATCGAAAACAGCAAATGTGGCGGAAAGTTTTGCTCTACTTTGGTAACTACCGTAACGGTGTACTGCTTTTCGCTACCGTAACCTATGTGATCGCATTCTGTATACGCTGTAATCCTTCTTCCAGGTAATCCCGTTTTTAGGTTAAGTTGGAAATTGAAGATGCCTAAAACTTGTATTTTTCAGAATGGTGGGTCGAGTGTTGTTGGTGTGCAATTCCGTCCTGTGGTCATTGAAACTACTTGATTACTTGCGAGTATTCCGTCAACTTGGACCTTACATAACAATGGCAGCGGAAATGGTCTGTTATGCGTTTGGTTTCGCAAGGATTTTTTTAGAAAAACTTTTACGTCCCGTTCGCAAGTAATGAGGATGTGATGCACGCGGGTGTGGTACTTTTTCCCCGAAAATCGCGTCGCACCCGCCGCACCCGACTTCGCGTAGCTATGCGAAAAGGAAGATGGAGGGAAAGGTTCGATATCCAAGTGGGAGAATACGGCAGCCGCTGCGGAACTACTGCCGGCTCCCGTGAGAATTCGGGGAGAAGTAATGTCACCAAATGGCGCGCTCATGAACAGAAGAGTGCATCACAAATTTTGCAGTCCTTCCCAGGGCGAACCTGATATGCCTCCCCATTTGGGAAATGGTCGACTGGCATAAGTCTCGTATGTAAAAAAAGGAAGCAGCTCTATGTACATATGCTGATCGTTCCAAATGTGTCAACCAAAAATGCCCCAAGTGCAGCTGCGATTGAAGGTTATATTTAGGCCGAAAGGGAAAAGGGACAAAAAAGGTTCAACGGAGCAGAGAGCCTTATTTTTAGCCCCTTTAAGGGTGGAAACGGCAGAAAATGTAAATAATATCAAAGGCATGAATATGGCTGTCGAAAAGTAGATAGAGTATTTTATTATTTCCAACTATTAGGCTTTCCAAGGTTAACTTACGTCCCAGAGCTTTCGCCACAACCCTGAACTGAACGTCTATTTGACCTGAAAAGAGTTTAGACCTAGTTCTGTCTACCGATCTCTATCTTTCTGCGGAAAGTCGAATTCCCTGTCTTACTAGGCAAAACAACCAGTTTTTTACTACTTTTGGCTGCAGTACAAGGCGATACCTCAAGAGAGGGTAGAAACTATTGAAAACCTAAAATTCTCCTGGGCAGAGTAGAGTATGTGTCACATAGAATACGATAGGAAACAAACTCAAGTGGGAGCACGGAGCCTGAGGGGTAAAACCAACTAGCAACACATGCTGGCATGGCAAGAGGGGGGACTAGGGTTCTTCGCCCACATCCCCTCAGTTATGCGAACCGTAACTGGTTTTCGCTTCTTTCGTCAAAACCGATAATCTCGAGAAATGTTCATAGGTCAGCGCCGATCAAACCCATTGCCTGGTTTTTCCCTCCCATACCCAACGTATACCCTTTTGGTTCGGGAATTTTGGAACCGAGGCGAAAAAAACAGAACATTTTACGATGACAGAGAAGTGCATACAGAAATTAGCAGACATAGCTGGGCGACCATATCTAGGAGGGTGAACTGGTCCAGGATATAATTTTCGTGGAATTTCCATCCTGTCATGCTATCTTCTCAGATTCCTCGAATGCTACCGATTCTTGCGATGCTGTTCGTTTCACTGTTGGCATTTGGTCTAGTTCGTGAAGCCATAACCTATCCCTATGAGAATTGGCATTGGCTTCTTCTTCGAAATATCTTCTACAAACCATATTTCATGCTGTATGGTGAAGTTTATGCACCAGAAATTGATGTCTGTGGAGATGAAAGTTAGTCGTTTTCTGCCCTCTTTCAATCCATTCGCTCGACATGGTCTCATCCTCTTGGGGACCTTAAAATTCGATGGCCAAATCAATGAAGTGAAAGCTGGTTTCAGTATGGGATGCTCATATCGAACAGGACGTGCCTATCGGATCTGAACTGCTCAACATAACTGGTTAGTTCCATAGAAATTCTGTGTGGGAGCGTTTCAACTGTAGTAAAAAAATTTAAGTTCAAACATCCAACCATATTTAATTGTACTTATGGTTAGTTGTACTATATTGTACTACGTAATACTATACCGTATTACAATGTAACAAACTATGTTATTTTGTTTTCTTTTTTTTCATTTGTTTTCTGTTTATTCTCATTTCAATCAGAACATGCACGATACTACTATTGTCATTCTAATCATCATATAAAATATCGAGCTTTGGTTTGTATGCCATTGCTATAGCTGACATTATATTTTTTTCAGCTTACTCAAGGGAGACGGGTAATTGTATCGGTTTTGTGTAATCGATTCGCCGCACGCGGCGGTCGCGGGCTAGTTATCTCGCTATTGTAATACTAGTGTTCTTCATAAAGCTCGATCGATATGCGATTATCTTTGTCGGCATTCTGCTGTCACTTGTTTTGTTCCTGTGTTCCTTATTCGTTGCGCTGCTTCTGCTTCATTCTGCTACATTTCTTTGAGCGCGACGTCGCTTTTGTCGCGAAACGAACATTTCGAATCAACTATACTGCACACAAATATAATTGCAAAATGCTGAACAAAAAGAAAATGTCCCCAATGTTTTACCCATCCATGAACGATACTGAAAGTCATACGCTAGTTCTGACAGTAGTGACTTTTAGTTTAACTTTTTTTTTGCAGGAGAAGGATGTGTACCGGGTTATTTTGTTGCACCGCTGTTTATGACCGTGTTCATGTTGATTGCTAATGTTCTGTTGATGAACACCATGGTTGCATGCTGTACGTATGTGTTCGAACACAATGTTGAAAATACCCAAGAGATTTGGCTTTTTGAACGATACAGTCAGGTATGTCCTGTTTATGAACCATGTAATACAGGAGATTACCGTGGGAACGGAATGAATACCTATCAAAACCAATTTAACCCAATGAAACACGACACAAGAGCAACTACATATTTATAGCCTTAGTATGGGCGAGAT